AAATCATAAGATCCCTTTTCACTGGTTCATGGGCCCAGTGATTTTTTTTGTTTTTTTAAAATGAGGCTGATCTGAGAGTGACTGCCCCCCAGCTGAGAACAAATCCAGCTAGAGAACTCTCAGCTGCCACCTGATGATCCTCTAGAGACAGCAGGTCACAGAGTTCTGTGGATAATACAATCTGATGCCAACTTGCTTCCCTTAAAATGGCACAGAGTCTGAAAATAGTGTTKCCACCACCCCATATCCAAGAGGGGAGAAAATATTGTCTTGCCATCGAGGCAAATTTGTGACATGAATAGAGAATGCTGTGTCCCTTCCCCACCTCATACCTCTCACTGTCCCTTCCTACCACCCTCACGTATGTCTCTCTTCTTTATAATAAATAACTCGTGGCTGTGGGTCTTACCCAAATTTGCATCTTTATCCTCAGAATGCACATTTACATTTCACATCGGCAGGCTTTTAAAAAAGTGATTAGCCTGTAGCAGAATAATAATAATAATAATAATAATTATTATTATTATTATTATTATTATTATTTGTACAAAATTTCCCAGGGGCTGAACAATTCATCACCAAGCAGACATCCTTCAGTTTAGTCTTTGGAGCTAGATACCTGCACCACCTCTTCTCAAGAGCACAGCCATGGAGTAACTTGCTCAAGTGAATACTTACTTTTGTTCCAACCCTTAGAGAGGAATAAGTTGCCCCATCTGTAATTCTGTTGTGTAATTCTGTTATGTTAACAAGCTTTGGAAGCTGCAGACCTAAGACAGAATTGCTCAAGAGYACTCACAAGCTGTGGAAACTTGACTCTCCTGTGGCTCCCTCAGCATAGCCTTTGCTGGTGGCTGCCCCGAATGCTCAGGACCACAAAGCCCTGCAGAGCAAAAGAGGACTATTCATTCCCTTGTGGTATCCCAAGGCCGTCAGCTTGGTCCCCAGTGTATGAATGTTGAACGAGCTCTTTTTTATTATATTAAAATGCCCATATAAATTTGGTCATATTAATAATTTTAAAGTGTACCACTCAGTAGCATTAAGTATCTTCCCAATGTCATTCAACCATCACCATTATCTGGTTCCAGAGCTTTATCATTACCCCAAAGAAAATCCATACCCATGAGCATTTACTCCCAATGCAACCCACCCCTCACACTCCAGAGGCCACTATTCTGCTTTCTGTCTTTATGTATGAACCTATTCTGGATATTTCACATAAATGGAATCACAATATGTGGCCCCTGGCGTCTGGCTTCTTTCACACATCATGATATTTTCAAGGTTGCTAATTTTGCTTTGACTTGGTACTCTTTCTCTCCCTAGGATGAGATTTGCACCAGGGAACTGGGCTAAGTGTGGAGTTTACTGAGGAAAACTTTATCAAATGTTCAAAATGGGAAATTGTCTCTGATTACTGGAAATATCAAAAGTGAACAAAAGGAAAAATACAGAATTCTTGGCTACTCTTTTTTCATATTACATTATTTATTGGGGAAGTTTCAAGTCCCTGGCATTTTGCTTTGTGTTCCTTTTCAAAACTGTAAGTTTTTGAATTTCCAAGATGTATTTCTGTGCATCTCTTCTGTTCTCACAACTGCTGTTATTGTAGTTAAATTTCACGTTTAACATTGGCCTACATGGTGTATAGTAACAAGATATAGGAAACAATCATAAAAGGACATAAATACCAGGGACAAGTAAAAATCTTTAATCTTCATGCCTATGGTCAGAGTTTTACGCCAAGAAGCATCATTTTATCCACAATAATTCTTTTAAGTTCAAATATACCCTTGAACCTTCCTAACTTCACACACTTAAAAACTTCTGTGTCCATATTTGACCATGCTTTAGAAGATGAGCCATTTAGAAGCACTGTATTGGGCTGGGGATGTGGCTTAAGCGGTAGCGTGCTTGCCTGGCATGCGTGCGGCCCAGGTTCGATCCTCAGCACCACATACAAACAAAAATGTTGTGTCCACTGAAAACTAAAAAATAAATATTAAAATAATGTCTCTCTCTCTCTCTCTCTCTCTCTCTCTCTCTCTCTTTAAAAAAAAAAAAAAAGAAGACCTGCCCCTTGCATGGATTCTACCTTTTAAAAAAAAAAGCACTGTATTTTCAATTTTTTTTTTCATTTTCATAGTATTGAGTAGGTGGCTTTGGCAATTTTTTTTTAAACCAAGTTATGTCTTGTACATTCCCTCATGCTTTCTTTTTTTTTTTCATCCACTACATACCTGAATGCATTTTATTTTCCATCATTTTTTTAGCTTGCAGATGCCAAATTAGTTTATGTAACTCAAAAGCATTTTGCTTAGGTTTATGCCTTTCCAGTCAAGCTGCTGTTACAGGAAAGAAATATCCAAGCAACGTGAACTCACCGACATAAAACATCGAAGACACATTTGGGACCCTGTCTCATTAGTAGGTTAGGGTCTATTGCACCTACTCGTCTGCCAATATCTATCTGCCAATATTCCCCAGTCTTTCCTGTTTCTAAATGTTGATTTAGATAAATGCTTTTCTAACCAAAATGAAACAGTATGGTATTTAAGTCAACCGTGAAAATAAGCACTGGCATATGTGGCCCCACTTGAAAGAAGCCCATACAGGCTTGATTTGAATTAGGCAAGAGGCCAAATGCAATCAGGTTTCCAAAGTCTGTCACTGCACCAAAAGGAAGAGGATCCCCCAGATTGCAGAAGACCTTGAAAGGCCAGAATTGAGTGGGGCTCCCCAATCTACCAACAAATGTGATTTTGTAGAATAAAGAGGGAGGGGAAAATGGCAAATGAGGCCTTTCTCTTAAAATTCCCATAAAGGGCACAATGACTGGGTAATTTTTAGCCTATCTCTACCTCTGGAGTCCTGTTACAAGGTCCAGGTCACCCTGGGCTTAGTGCAAGACAAGACTTAACCCTGGACTAWTGGAATAGACATAGAGTGATTCAGTRACCCGATGAAGACTTGCTATTCTACTGGCCCATTGTGGATGCCCTGCATGGTCACAGAATTGGTAATTGGTGCCCCCAGGAAAAGTCAAGATATCACTTCACCARTATAATTATAACTTCCTAGAAACAAACCTGATCTATATGTTTGAAATCTGACTTACAATGTTAATTGTGAGGATTCAAACTCTCACCATTTTTACTAGAAYGGCTTTCTACCTTCTCTGCAGTTTAAGTCACTCAAAACTCCCTTGAGTTTGAAACAGTCCATTCTCAGTTCTGTGTCACCTAAAAGCCATGATGTCATTCAGGTGTCTCTCCAGGCTGACATAGCCTCTCTTCCTTCACCCACTATCCTGAGCTCTCTCTGCCCACATCAAACATCTGCCTTGTGCATTGTCTTAGCCCCTATTAGCCCACAAAGGATACTGTCTCTTTATTCTCCAAGTCCAGTCCTTTTGGTCAGTTTTACACTGTTGACCACTTTTATCTATAGATAGATATGCATCAAGCATTTAAGCAAGTACCTTTAGTAGGTCTCTCTCTGTAAGAGGCACCTCCAAACCAGATTGTCTCTTATGAATTAATCTTACTTAGATTGTGAACTCCTTGAGGCAGGACTAGGTTTCCTCTTTAAATCCTACATATTACCTGGCACATTACCAGTGCCTAACAGGTATTCAGTAAATTTTACAAAATGATTTTTAACTTTACAAAAATTGTCACTGRTTAACTCTCTTACAGAGAAAGTTTCTCATGTGCCCTCRTTATGTTTGGATTCACATGTATATTTCATAGACATACTTATGTGAAGGCAGGTATATCATACGCCAAATCATATCATATAATTTTCACTAGAGTTTTTTTAATGAGCATTTTTTTTTCAAAACAGGAACTAGTATAATGTTGCAAAAGGGAATTATTGCTTTTGGAAATCTTGACTATAGGTGGAAGAGAAGCAGGAAAACTTTGCAGCCAAGGCCTGCTAGTTCAACATTACTCCTTATATTAATTGTCCATGGTCTTGTTAGAAAGCATGTAGGCTGAGACTTAAGCAAAGGAAAAGTGAACTTGGTTTTCAGCAGTAACTTTCTCTAGACTATGCTTTGGTTTCCTCCAGTAGAAATTGTTCAGTGCTAGATGGGTGCRAGAAAAAATTTTGTGTTCTCAGTACTAAGACAGCTTAGCCCACCAACTCTTCTCCTATAACAAGAAAATCTTGAAAGATGATTTCGTTCTTTCATTTCCTTGCCTGTCCTTGAGGTACTAATGCCTTAAAAGAATTACTTTTCAAGGGGGTGTGCAAGGAATGGAGATTATTTTTAAGTACTCTCTAATGTGTYGAATCATCACACTATGTATTTCATAGTCACCCTCCATATTCCTCTGGTTTGGGGGCTCTGTCTCTTTGATCAGCAGGAAAAAAAATTTAAATATCGCAATTTGGCAAAACTAAGAGGTCCAGGTATGAGAAATAATCTTTGAATAAAGGGGGAAAAACACTATATAAACTTGAAACTAAGATATCTAAGCAAATTGATAGAGGTCTGAGTAAAGAGCGAAAACGGTATTGATTAATGGTATTGATGGTGATGAAAAGGAGGTTACAATTAGTGTTCTGTTCTTAACGCCAGTCAAGCGCTTACCAGAAGAATTTAACTGGTTGAACTTTGAAAATCCACATCAGATCTTGGCATGAGTATATTYCACAGGCAGTGTGAAAAAGGAGAGAAAGAGATTCCTTAAAAACATCTCTGTTCCTTGTATACCCTCTTTAAAAGTGATGCTTTTATAGTAACTCCCAATACCTTTAAGACAAAATGTCTGATGTATTACATTCTGGTCCTAATTTGTTAAAAAATAAAAATAAAAATAAAAAAATCTCAAGAAGTGTTTTTAATTCTCCCAGGACCTCCCAACCCTCTAAAACACTAAAGAGCTTCAGTGGAAGAGGGCAAACCTTCTCTCAAGGAGACTGGGGACAAGCCATCCAGACACAGCAGGATGTTTTGGTCATGTTTGTTTCACTCTCTTTCCTTGTAGCTACCTCATCCCTGAACTCCCAACTGCAACAGCTCCAGCAGCTCCAGCAGCTCCAGCAGCAGCAGCAGCAACAGCAGCAGCAGCAGCAACAGCAGCAGCAGCAGCAGCAACAGCAGCCTCCTCCACCGCCAACCAGCCAGCACCCACAGCCAGCCCCACAGGCGTCCTCACAGCCCCAGCAGCCTCCACAGCCCCAGCCTACCCCGCCCCAGCAGCCACCACCTGCCTCCCAGCAGCTGCCAGCTCCTCCGTCTCAGCTGCAACAGGCGCCTCAGCCCCAGCAGCATCAGTCCCACTCCCACCCCCAGAACCAGAACCAGCCATCTCCAACCCAGCAGAGTGCAAGCCCCCCTCAGAAGCCCAGTCAATCTCCAGGACATGGCCTTCCGTCGCCGCTCACGCCACCCAATCCTCTACAGGTAGGCTTTCCAACCACCCCCAGGAGCACAGAGGACCTTTCCAGGTGTCACACGCGGTCCCCAAAGGCAAAAGGCCAGCACAACTTAGTATCCTGTTCTGCAGCATCTAATTCAAATTGATCTCTTAGACGTAGGGAAGAGGAAGCAAATAGCAGGTAGCTGGGGATGCATGTAAACGAAACAAATAGAAGCCCACTGATGTTGCCCTCCAAAGGATAAATGTTATCTCTTTCCTTCTGTGAGAGGCCAGCTCTGTAAGTGCACTTGTAGCCTGTAATAATTCCATTTTATGATACTTTTTGAAGGCAGCAAAGATAGCATCCAATTAAAATTATTACTAGCACAGTTTTGTAGCCCCGTGGAGAACCGCATCTACTGTCCATGAGGCATGGTGGTTATTTCTCTATATTATGAATACAACAGTGGCTTACCTTAAGTACTTTCTGCTCTTTTGTTTTTATTTTTCTAAAGACTCTCTGGGGTTAGGAGGGCAAAGAAATTTAGCTCCAGTCTTATGTCCCAGATTCCAACCATTACTCCACAGACTTGTTAGTGTGAGAGCCTCAGCAAATATGCATCTTTATAAAATAATAGAGSAGCTATATATTTCCTTTATTACTGTGAGGCTGAGGGCATCAAAAATGAATGCTTTGGGTTAATCATGAAAGCTCATCTTTAACCTACCACCACTGAGGAAGAAATAGGAGCCTTCAGGAATATATAACTTGAAACTTCTGGAAAACATTTTTCACACAGACACCCATAAAATGAATTAACTTCCCTACATAATAACTGTGATGTCAATGCATCAGATCTAGAAATTAATAGTTCAGTTGAGCCGTCCAGACTTTGACTTTATGATGATGTATTTGAGATTTCAGATGACTTAGTATACTCAGAGTACAGTGACAAGCTCCAACACGGTGAGCAATGTGTGTGCTCATTTGGATGCCACTTCACCCTCTCTTCATGGTGGGCCTTGTCCTGCCCTCCCCAAGGAGAGGATGGCAATAGAGAAGGAATTCATGGCTACTGAATGGGGAAATAATGCATTATCAAGATATTCATACTCAAACAAAAGGCAGGTGGATTAGGGACTTAGAATGTTGGGACCAACTTTATTTATTGTCCCATATCTTTGTCCCTTTGAACTTGGATTCTCGATGTGGTCCAGAGTTTTCCTGGAAATGAACATACTTGGGTGAGATGAGTAATTATGTTTTTCCAGGCACTTGGGGCCAAGGCAACTTTCCAGTGTGAACATTTTCCTGAGTTAGTTGGAGTTGTATTTTCACAAATCTTACAAGGGAGAGACTCTCTAATACATGGCAATGAACATAAGCTTAAAACCCCTTCACTAGACACTTGACGTCTAAGGAGAGAGGAGGCATAATCAAATTTACAAAATGCATAATTAAATCAACCCTAACAYTTTCAACATCTGGAGTTCAACTCTATTGTTCCAAAGAATGAGTTTTAATGCTTTTGAACAACAGTTCAATTAGATATGCCTATATACAATGTAATTTAACACTTGCTGTGTCCCAGGCACCAAAATAGGTAAAATTACCAAGGAAAAAAATGGCCCTGTGCTGAGATATGAAATATCTTAGATCTGAAGCTAGTTGTATATATTCTAGCATTTTTCCCATTAAGTAAAAACTGTCTTGGAGCTCTGTGGAAAACAGCCTTCCCCCAAATACTTCCAGAATCTTAATATCTGCCAGCCAGTGAAATGGCAGCATGGATATGTGCAGTTGATGGGACTTTAGGTGTGGTGACCACTCTACCTCTTGGGAATAAATTCTCTTAGGAGAAGTTCTAAAAGTTCTCCTAACAGCTTCCCATGGAAATCCAGGGACTGTACAGGGTTTTTGTGTTGTTGTTGTTGTTGTTGTTGTTGTTTTGTTTTTTGACAACAAATAAAGACTCAGAGCTACATTTCTTTATGACCTTGAGAGAATATTCTAATTTTTTCACCGTTGGAATTTTACCTTTTAATAAATATGTTTAGAGTCATTTAAATACAATAAATACAATAACTTCTATGGATCTAATGGATAACCACCAAAAAAGTGACTTGATACAAATTTTTAAAATATTATTGAGTAGATATAAAATTAATTTTGAATAAGTAGATGTCTATAGAAATTAAAGGATTTTTTTCCCCTTGACCACAGTTGTATGTAAGGAAAATGAAGAATTTCATAGTTTAAGTATTTTTTCAATACTAGTTGTGGGGGTTTTAAGTTTGGGAAACATGGGATGTTTTAACTATTTTTTTTGTTAGTACTCGGAATTGAACCGAGGGCCTTGTAAATTCTACTCAAAATGTTCTACCATTAAGCCACACTCCCAGCCCAGAATGTTTGAACATTTTAAAAAGAAAACTATTTAAAAGGCACTGCAAAGATGTTTAACTCTCAAAGGTAATGATCTTCATGAAGTAGAATAAGGCGTTTTTTGCTTAAAAATTAAAAAGGGAATAAAGATCAACTAAATTCATATATGAAAGCCTAAATCTCATTTTACTATTCTTTATTTTCATATGGGCTTTGTCTTTTTACATTATTCAAAATCCATCTAAGAAATATTAGTTTAGAACTATGCAATATAGTTTATTAGGGAAAGCCAGCACAAGAAAAGGGTTTTTGCTTAAAAATTTTTTTAAAGGATAACAATCATGTCTAAAAATGTACAGATACTGACTTCAGGGAAAAAAATGCATTAAAGTAGATTGTAAAGGTATATTTGGGTGAGGTCATTTCTTAAGATTAAAAAAAAAAAAAGATTAATAGTGCTAACGGGTAGTAACACTCTAGACAAAAATTCTCCAAATAGCTCTTGTCAGGTTTTTTCTGTGAAATTGCAGTATAATTTTATTTCACTCTTTACTCAATTCCATGAAATAGATTGCATTTACAAAACTACGTTGTTGTTTCAAGACAGGTATGAGTAGAAAGTATTATCCCTTCAGAGAAGCCAAGGTAGGGGAATAACTGTTCATTAATTTTGATCACTCTGATCTACGGGAAGGGCTGGGGGTCTAGAGTAGATGACAGAAGTTGGTCCCTACAGGTCTGTCTGTAGCTTTTCCATTGAGACTCAAGACCTACCCAACTCAAAACTTCATTYTCTCCCAGGAGGCACAGGGGAGAAGTTCTAAAGAGAAAATGCAAGCACACTGGTGTTCAGGAGTCAGGCAGTCATTAAAATTAGTAGATGCAGGTGCAGAACTCAAAGTCAAATTATTTAAAAACTGTGTGAGACAAATAAGATACACCTGTGAGATGAATTCAGCCTTTGGATTCAGGGTGGATGTCAGTCCATACACCTTATTTTTGCTCTAACCCACTAGTCACAGACTGTATCAATATCAAAAACTAGAAATTCTAACTGTGTTGGGGAGGAGCAGAATAGAAGCATAAATGGAAACAATTTTGCCAGGGAAAAGACGTGTTCTAATCACTCCTGTGTTGATAAAACAACCAACAATTTTATTTCCAATACATAARTTTGATCTGGATAAAGATCACTTATGCATAAGAATAGTGAAATTGATTTTTACTTTTTATCACCTTTGAGATGGTTTTTCCTGCAAAGTTATTTGGGAGTTTCTATTTGCACTGGGGAGATCCTAAACATTTTGTAAATGCCCTAATGTGCACATATTCCCTGCAGGGTGGTCTGGAATCAAACTGGGCCTGGTTGATGGCTAGTTGTCGTGTCCAGGGATGAGGATGGCTGGAGGGTTAGAGGTCTCATTCTAGTTCTGACCCTGCCTCCAACTAACTCTCAATTTTGAACAAGTTGTAACTCTCTAGACTTCATTATTCTCATCTGCTGCATCTACAAGCTCTAAGTTGGTAGGCCTCTGGAATTTTATTGACTATTAAAAGCCTGATGGTCTTGAAGATTCTCTGAGTATTCTTCAAGGTCAGGTGAATTTCTTCCCACTCAGCTGGGTGGCAGAGTGGAAAGAGAGCGGGAGACAAACCTAAGTGGGATAATGATAGCAGAAGCAGACTTTATCTTAGTAAGAGAGTCCAAATTAAAGTCAAGTTTTTATCCTCAGAGAGTCACTACTATAAGCTCTGGTTTCAGATTGTTTTTTCCATACCTATACATTAGAGAAGCTTAAGAAACCAAATGCTGCATTTAACCTTGGCCTTCTGCGTACTGTCTTGCATGGCAGGAAGCAGGATAATCTTTTCCTTTTCTTGTATTGCACATTTTAATAGATAACAGAGGGAGACAGAGATCAGTGGAAATAAGAGGACTTGTATGAGGAATGAGAGACATGGTCACCTCCCCAGAGGTGGTGGTGCTCGAGAGATAAGGTAAAACATGGTCTCAAGCATGTGCATTTACTAATATAAAAGTCTAGTTACCACTCAGGCTTAGAGCAATACAACTGTTTAAGAATTATACCTCTGATACGCAGTGGACATAGCCTTCTGGTCTTCTCAGTTGAGATGTTTTCCCACTGACAAATTTTAGTACTAAGTTCTGAAGCATATATTTAATGGGGAAAGGAAGTACATTCTTACTTTTTGAAACAATGAGTCCAAGCCCTTGAGAAGTGGTCAGATCTACATGTCTATTATGTCCTTTAAAGCAAGTGGTCTCCAATCTTGGGTTCTTCCCTCCAATTTAGAAAAGGTCCAGTGCCCTCATCCAAATTCTCCCTTTCCCCAGAAATTAATCTTGATCAATTTACCACAATATTAGTTAAGGTTCTGTGGATCTAAGATATCTCATTTATAAAGGAAGACAGTAAAATAAAATACTTTCTAGTATTCTGTTTGAAGTTCTATTTAGAGTTTTATATTAAACATCCCTAATACTGTTTAATGTTGGGTGACCTATACAGGAACACTCATATAACCCCGGATGGGGCCATTGTAAATTCTAATAGCATTCAGACATAGGCTACACCCACATAGGCTGAATCACTTGCAGAATTCTCCTCTCCACAGCCAAGGCTAAGGTGAGGGTAT